CCCCAAAACCCCAAAACCCCAAAACCCCAAAACCCCAAAAAATCTGAACTTGCAATATAAAATAATTCAAAATGCTACGATCAAAACCCCAAGCTTCCGACCGAGACCGACCAACTGAGCGACCGCACAAGGGGGTGGGCTCTGCTCTCCCAGGGACTTGTACCTAGAGAAGAGCTTAGCAATAACAGAATATACATTAAAAGACCAAGAGTCCCAGTTACAATAAACAGGAAATAATTATAAGGATAAGCAAGGTACTAAAATGTTAGGAAATTCTTTAAATCCTACCTCACATGAGAAAGAGTTGAAAGCTAGACTGAAGCATCAAGCTAAGGTAGGTTTGTTTCGTACAAAAATCGGCTGATAGTCCTTTGTCATGTTGACATTTAAACTAGGAAATAATTTCAAATGCAAATCTGTCTCTGAATCAAACCAGACTACTTCATTCTAAAATTCAAGCAATGATCGAAAATTTCAAGTCTAACAAAGTTGCTAAACTTAAAAGAATTTATGTGAAGAGAGGTAAAAGAAGGTTTGAACCTCGAAAAATCAAAACTAGCCCTCATCTTCAAAACAATAATGTCGACAGCACCTTTCAAATGTCCAGTGGTAGGAATATTTTTACCCCAGAGGCATCCACAAGATTGTTCAGTCCTCAGCCATGGAGGCTGTTTTCTCCAACAAGCCAGGCTACTAGAGCTGCAAGTACCAAATTTACGCTAAAATTTAGCTAAAAATACAAGAAGAACGAACAAATTTCATACGAATAACATGGTACTTCTTGCTAAAATTGTAGGAAATCAAGCACTGAAAATAACTTCATCTCCAATGAAAATACTCAAAAGGATTTAATCTATTTCCCATTTTTACCAAATTCTAACAAAGGGAACGCTAAATTCATCGCGACAAAGCAGGAAAGTTCTGGCTACGAATCCAAAGAGGGAACTATCCATCTAGAAAATAGCCAGGAGATGATCCCAGAGAGCCCAATCAAGCCTGAAGGTTCGGCATCGTTTAATTGCATAGTAATATTCGAGAGCTCCAAGCGACTAAAGCAAAAAGATAGCAGAGTGTCTCTCAGATACGACCTTCATAGCGATCACATTGATATTGGTCATATCGAGAACACCAAAGCTCAAGATAAGGTTAACCAAATCATTAACAAGATCAAATGTAAGGTTTCCTACTAGATTTAGCCAAGCGGACAACCATCAAGAATGCTTCTACTATTAACCATGCCACATTTGAGAAGTTAAAATTTGAAAACAAAAGCCAATCCAGAGATGATGATGACTTCAGTATTGGAAAATCTGAAGTAGAGAAAAAGCAGAAAGAGAACAGACGCTCAGTCTTGAACACTCTTCTCACTGACAAAGAAGTCGAACAGTACCAGGAAAATATTACTAGAGCTTTAAAACTCAAAAATAAGAGGTAAATATCTTTCAATGCACTTTGCTTGACGGGGTTTTGGGGTTTTGGGGTTTTGGGG